ATATAATGAAAAAATATATATATATATATTATGAAAATGTTCAATAATTTTGTTCTTTTTGTTCTCATATTCACCATTAAGGTTAAATCCAGTGTGAAGCTCATTAAGGCTACAATGCAAGGGTTTTTTTTTAGCACATCTAACATTTGTCAAATGTGTTTTAACTGGATTAACTTTATGACTTTGATGTTTATTAAATAACAGGGGCATTTTACAATAACATGTTTAAATGACTGGCAAACACTACTATTCATACAACAATATGAAAGCTGCCAAAACTGATCAGTTGGTGTTGACAGGAAGCACACTGTGTGAAACCTATACATATTCAGATTATCCAAAAGCGGAAATGTTCAAAAGTTGAAGCTTCCTTTAACCATTTAGATCCTATTGACATACAGAGACTACGAATGTCACTTTGAATTCTCAAACCTTGGCCTAAGACCAATTGTCTTCAAGGTAGAGAAAACTTGAACCAAGGATCACTGTGCATGTTTCTTTGTACAAAAAGGTAATCAAAGGAAGAAAGTCAGTCTTACTGCCTCTAGGTTAGTGCCAGTATTACTGTGAGCAATAAAAGTAAAATAATGCAGCTCAAAGACAAGTGGAAAAAAATCAAAATGTGAAAAGTTAAAGGGAATCACCTAGCAGCTACTGAATGGAACATATTCTTAGGATTCATTCTCAGATCTTGAGCATGATAAAAGTTCTTTGAAAAGACCACAGATAGTTCTCAGAAGAGAAATGGAAGGAATAGGACATTACAAGGGCTTTTTACAATTGGTCTGCAATATCAATGTCTTTATTTAATATAATCTTAGTCTTCTTCTTTTAGATTCTAAAATAGGTAAAGTAATCTAGATTCTAGGAGAGAAACAGGTAAATATATAAGCATTTACAATACAGATACAATGAGATATAAGAGCTTACAGGAACATATATCAGAATGTAAAATCTATCACAAATATTTATTAATCGTGAGCTGTCTTGTGTGAGAATCTAAAAAAATGCTAAAATAATGCCTTTGCATATTTTTCATTAACCTATATGCAAAATTCTATGATCAGATTAGAATCTAATCTAGTGACATTAAGTGTGATTTAATTCAATTATTATTTCAACTCTCTGAGTACATCTGAATTTGCCATTTTGCTGTTACTTTACTTAGTAAGCTACTACTTTAATACTATGTTCTTATACAGCTCCTCCTAAAATTTTACTCAAACACGGTTTTCAGTGCTTGGCAATTTATACACTTTCTCAATTTTTAAAAGTAAAACTGAGAAGTACTTCAGAGTAAAATAGAAATAACAAATGTTAACAATTTACAAATATGATTGGACATATCTTCATATAAGGCCTTTAGACCAATATGAAAAATCATGAAGTGAATTAAGGAATTGATTAGCAAGAGGAACTAGCAAGAGGAACTGCATCACTTGGAGAATGTACAGTAATATACAGAAAAGTAGTGGTGATGCAAAGAATAAAATAGCAACAAAATAATCCTGACAAATGAGAAATATTCCTGTCTTTTCCATATAATATACTTACTGCAAATAGTTCACAAACTTACTAAATAAAATATATAGTATTGGCTCTGATATTTTAAAAGATATATTTCTTTCAAGAAGTATACAGAATTTAAAATAAAATCTTTGTTTTATATTCTGCCATATCCTTTTATTCACCCTCAGGCCACAGGTAAAAAGCTATTTTGTACAATTCTTTAAACAACGATCTTTACTAATTAAAGGTTTCTGCCTAACTAATGGAAGCTTCTGACTTATAACCCAATTAACTTCCGAATATGCAGTATCAAGTTAAAGATGCCAAGTCCTGCAATATTATGTCTGCCTATGCTCCAAGATCGGGACCCCAAGAGAAGAGGCTGAAATACACAGACCAGGCACCAAGGCAGAGAGTACTGGGAGTTCCTACCAGCCCAAAATTCTAGTTTTCTTTAGAGAAAAAATGCAAAGCTTTTAGTTTCTTCTTACCTGTGAGAACCGTGCTACCACACTCAAGGCATAAGTCAATCAATCCCAATTGTGACAAACATAATTGGCCTCTTTATTAGTTTAATGCCATGAAATACTGAATGGTTATGAGATAAAGCAAAGTATCCTAAGGTAAGTCCTAACCTAGACAGTTCGGCATACAGTCTATAGTATCATCTATATAATACTTTCTATAGATACATTTGAAACATACTCGCAAACAGTTTTGCCTTCTACCAGAGTAACTAAATTTACTACGTCATTTATGAAAAGACATTGCTAAGTCTGAAAAAGTATTACTGTCAACATTACTTAAATGGCAATCAAGTGCCTAGAAGCTGAGTTTGCTGATGCCACACTGAGCATCTCCCTTCCTCCAACTTCTCCTTATACTTCACAGAATTCATCATCATAAATGGATAAAGAGAAGTTAGAGCAAGGACATCAAGGAAAACCTAAAGTAAAATGTAAAACAAATACCATTGGAAGAGAGAAGTATAAGGATGCTGAACAATTTTTACTGAGATAACAAAGATGTCAGGAGCTCAGAAATGACTTAGAAAACATAAGTCAGTTGTAAGTCATTTCCTAATGCTTCTACTTTTTCTTCATTTTTAAAAAATATCCCCAAAGGAAGCGGAGGCCCTTTTATAAGATGTGAAAATCATTATATTTTATTACTAAATAATGAGCTCAAGAGACATCAGTGCTCCTCTGAGGCTGAATTCCCCCTCCCTGATCCCTTAAGGCCATTCTTCCTCAGGCAATGCAGAGGTTCTGGGTTGTAAAGATCAAGGACTCAGGAACAGGGTAGGGATGTTGATTATATACTCAACTGCAATTTTTTTTTTTAAAAGGCTTAAAAATTTATCTGCTTCCTAAACACCATCAATAACATTCACTTCAATACTGACTATGTTAAACAGCAGTTAAAAAATGGCTTGATCAAAATATTCTGGGAATCCTCCAAATACTCAAAGCTGGAAATGTGTCCAAAGATCCATTTTAAAATCTCAACCTTTATTACAGATAAAGAAATATTAGAAAGCCCTTGGGGAAACCAGTTAATTCTCTAGATCTTATTCGAAAATGTCAAATCAATTTACATGTATTGAGCATCTGCCTACAGAGAAGTCAGTTTATCTTAAATTCTGCTTCTGTAAATTGAAAAACTTGATGCCTGTTTCTGTGAGAACTGTAAGTATTTGGGAGGCTTTTCCTGACTGAATTATCCGATTTTAGCCTTATAGCGCAAATGTAGGCATATGTGAGACAGGAGCCACACCTCCTCAGAAGAGGGGTGGTTGAAATAGCAGCATAAGATTTATCTACTTTACTTCAGAATCTGACCTATGAAAAAATAGAATCTGATCTACAATAACTTGGGTAAATATGGTTAGTTGGTAATATAGATAAGTGACTTTCTTTTATAACAATACTGTTATAAAAGTAGAACTACTTGCGACTAATATAAAATTAAGTTATACATGCAAAAGAATCAACATATAAAACAGTAAAAAGATCAAATTACATAAATAAAAGAAACTAAAAGACATGAGTTGTTTTTTTTTTAACAACTATTCAAACAAAGCTCTTATCAGTATTACTTCCTGAATTATTAAGATGAAGATAATTAAAAAGAGAAATAGTGATAGGGAATATAAAGAAGAGAGACACCCATGTTGCTAATTAAACCTTGATTATACCTGCCATGCTGTAAGGCAAGAGGTGCACATCAAATGCCCGCAAGGCTCAATCTTGACATCTTTGTCGTTCTCAGCACAAATTTTACAGAGCTGAAAAGTGGAGCCCATTTCACAATATAATTCATATTGTTCCTGGAATTTGGGGGGAAAAAATGCAGGCAATGTTAAAGCATCTGTAGCATGAACTGCTAATAACTTTCTCAAACATAATAACTGAAATTTATCACACTTGATCCTATCAAGATTATGTTACTATTTAAGACATGTTTTAAATTGATAATCAAAATTTAGTCAACATAATCATTTTTTAAAGGATTTGAACTTTCATCGGCAATTGTATAAGCTTTTTTAATACTGCGTTATTTGTTTTGCACTTTTTCTTTAGAAAGGAACTTGCTTCAATAGTCAGTGACTCAAAAGACAAAATTTATAGTTTTAAAAGGCAATTAAATAATTTACTTTTCTTTACAAATGTTACATACTCACCGTTTTTATTGTCAAATTGCCATGTATATAAAATTCTGACTGAACACTAAATTTTATTTCTTGAATATCTTTAGAAATTCCAGAATGGAAGAAAAGCAGCATTTCCCAAGCCCTTCCTGCAAGCTAGGAACTATGGCCCACATGTATTATGTCACATAATCTTCAAAGCATATTAAATATATTGAATTAAAAACTACTTCAGGCTCAATACGTTTAAATTTTCCTCAAGTTCTATATTAATTCTCTAAATTGCATACTCTTTTCCCAACCTTAATCACGTCAGCAAGCAAAAATTGTTTTATTAAAACTGTTTTCTGGATTTACTAGTTTAGAACCTCTTGGTATAATAAAATTATCAGTGTTCAAATAATGAAGACACAAGTATATTGGTGAATGTAAAGAAAACACACAAAAAAGTGTTATTTAATAGGGACACAAAAAAAGGAATTATAGAAAGTTTAAATAAGGCAGTGCTCTGGTCTAGTAAGTATCTCTGTACCCAGCACTGGGCAGAATAAATAAATAACAATATTTAATCCCTAACCTACTAAAAGATCTTACAATCATGGTGAGGAAAAAAAAAAAAAATATATCTATATATACACATATACCTGCATGTGCATAGATACACACATATGCACATATACACACATTCATATATAGATTAAATCTACCACAATGTATATGTTTGTGTGACTATATGCATAATTTTTAAAGAAATTTTTAAAAGACAAGAGAGAATGGATCAAGATGGAAAGAAAATAAATCTAAAGTGATCCAAAATAAATTATAAATCACTGAAGTCCCTAAAATAATAGATAAGTATTTATGTTTGTTATGGCATCCAAAGGACCAATTTGCAATTATAAAAAAAATTACAACCTAAGCTAAAAACTCAGATGCGAAATTCAATGTAACCTAAGGGGTAAGCTAGTCAAATACTTGGATCATTTAATAGTATCATAAGAATGATACTATTCCTTTATGTATTTTTAAACAACAGCTTTATGAAAAGAAATTATCTCTTATGAGTGTTCTTTCACATATATAATAAAATACAGAATCACTACATAATATAAAAAATGAAAATCATATGAATTTTTGAAGGCTGCCCACAAACTGTACATGTCAACAAGTGTTTTTCACATAATGATATCAAGACCACTGAGACTGAAATCTGAAATATTAGAAATAAAATAAAAAATTATCTATTGTTGTCCTCCAAATCTATAATGTGGTTTTTTTTTTTAATAGATTCTCATTATTTATTATACAAAGTACAAAAATATGGTAGAGATTTTTAAACTAAATTATATGCAAATGATTCTTTCATTCTCTCCCTGACTCCCCAAACCTTTTTACTTCCTCAGTTAAATACTGTTACTAGTTTGGTATTTTCTAATTTTAATTTTTTAAAAGTTTATTCATATGTTCATATGTGGTAATTTATTTATTTACAGAAACTGAACCAACATAATGTAACTTTACAAAATGAAGTGTTTCATAATTGAGCTTTACATAAATGTAACATAATTAAGCTTTACATAAATTTTACATAAAAAGATGCAGAAGTTCCCATGGAATATGTAGAGCTACTGTCCTATTAATGACTTTAAAGTATGAGTATAATATGGTTTTCTAATCTATAATTGCATATTTTGGTATTTTGTAACTTTTCATTTTTATAAAAAATGCTAAAGTGAACACCTGGTGTACAGATCTTTGTGTGTATATATTAGTAAAACTTTATATAAAACACATATATGTATATACAATCTAGAGTCAAAAGATGTTTTTATTTAGATTTTTATAATTACTGAATATTACCCTGAAGAAAGACTTTACCAAGTTATACTCCCACTCATAATCCCTGAGGTTGCCAACAACGGATTTATAAGAATATAATTAATATCTTCAATAGGCTTCGATTATTAATTCAACTCTGAAAGCTAATGCCTATAATTACTCAAATCCGCTTTGGAGTTTTCTAAACCTATGGCTCTCTCATATTTATCTACCTACTTATGGGTTTATCTATCTCCCCACATAAATGCCACTATTATATTTGAAGCAAGAAGATTAACAGCAGAAATTTTTATCAAAAAAATGAAGAAAGTAATGTTTTTTCCTTTCAAACACTTTTAGAATTCCTTAAGTACTTTCTTTTTTGTATTAAATACCTGTACATGACTTTGGCTCTAGTATAAGTAGAGAATCTTATTTCAAAGATATTATGGACACTTATTAATTATAAACACATTTGCAGAAATTGTCCTTACCTGTGTGACTTTTATATGATCATGGGGTGTAGGTTCACATAATCCAGTTAAATCAGGATTATAACTCCTCCCATCAGGATAAAGGTAGCTGGATTATAAACAGAAACTTTATTACTATAAATATACAAGTTTTAATTGCAATTAAAGTTAATCAGATTCTTCTATATTCAAACACACATTTTGATATTTCCTTTTTATGTAACATATCAAGAACCTATTCTCTATTTCCATATTACAGCCACTAAGCAACCATTTTCAAATAAATATCTTTACAAAATGTTAGGTAAGTTAAAAATTTATTTTACTGGCCCCTCATGTTTTATTCCAAAATACTTTGAATACACATATATTTGCAATTATTATATCTTTCATCTGAAGCTCAGTTAATGTTAAATGTATCATTTTACACCAAGCTTAATACTGCAAGGAGAGAAAAATAGAATTAAAGCCCACGATTTTCCCACAAAAATTATTCAAATACTTCTATGGTGCTCCTATTTCTCCAGTTTCCCATCCTTTCTTTCCATCTCACCTTCCACTCACCCAGCACATACACATGTGTGCATACACACGTTTAAAGAAATTAGAAAATGGTACAATTGCATGTTTCATTTACTTCAAATCAAACTATAAATAGAATGGTTTATAAACATAAGGTTCCATTATTAGAATTAAGAACTAAATTATAGTAATACAGCATCTTGCTGTGCTAAAACAGAGCTTTTACTCACTCTGAAATCCATTAATAATGAAATTTATTGTGTTGGTAAATACCAATTTTAGATTTTTTTAGATGGTACTATTACTGTTGGATTTCATCAATTCATTCAGTTATGGTTAATTTTGTTCAATATCCTTGTGTTCTAGATGGCTTGAATGAAAAATTGAGACTATACTACTACAGAGATAAATATTTTAAATGGAAAAACTATACTAGAACTATACTGTGAGATAACAAAAAAGATTTATCCTTAAATGAAGAGTCTATGAGTATGCTAGTAAGTGCTAAAATTTACCCAGGAAAACTAGAAAAAATAATGAACTTATAGGATAAACAATCTCACATGGTAAGGAACAAATCAGTAAAAAAAAAAAAAAAAATCTTTTTTTAAGATTTAAGAAAAGAAGTTTACTACATCTAAATATGGTACAAATTAGAGTGTCATTATGGGGCTGGGATAAAATTCTACAAATATTAAATGAGAAGTGGTAAGAAAAGTTGATAAGTAACTTTCTTCTTATAACCTAAAATGGCCAATTTTTAAAATTATTATATGACATTTTGTTTATCACACTTCAAAATCATGTGGAAATTTTAGGGAAAAGTCAGAAATAAAATATTACAAATATGACAAGAAGGTTGCTAGAGGAAAAATTAAAAGGCAATTCGATGAGTATTCACACTTCAGTAATGCAGGGTGCTACTGATGAGCCTCTTTCAATGGCAATGAATGAAGAAAGAATCTTGGCTGGTTATCAAAGTATTCTTTGTCACCGATGTCAGATAATATTGGATTAACTATCAAGAAAGAACAGCCAACCCTGATGATAGTTGGACTAGATAATATCCTTCCCATGTTTTTACTGATCTTAAAAAAAAAAAAAAAAACTAATATACTTATTTTAATCTAATCTAAAAATCTGACCTTTTTAAAAATTGGATTAAAATTTCAATCTGATCCATTTTTAGTGTAATCTATCCCAAAAGTACAAATTCAACTCACCAAACTCCTCTGAAGATGTGTGTGCGTGTGTGTGTATAAATATTAAGTTAATTTATAGGAGTTCAGAGGCTAGACTAATGACTACAAATCATAATGTGTTATTTTTGATTGACTTCTGAAAAATAGATGGAAGGCACTGTAACAATATAAATAGGTTATATCAAATTATTCCATTTACAGATTTGCCCATTCATACCCTCTATTTATAAATGAAACCATTCAGGTACATTTTCTTAAAAACAAAAATCCTGCAGTTACAGCACTTGGTACCACAGCTTGCCATACAATTCTTATGTAACTATTTCTAAAAAGCTCACAACTTTTAAAAATGCATTATTTTTCTTCACATAGATACCATACTGGTCCCTCATGTAAAAAACAAAACACTTTTTTTTTTCCGATTACTTTTGAAAAGGTAAATCTTAAATCATTTGCTCTTTGCTGACTCTAGTGGACTTTCTCTTGCTAGGTTTCTACAACAATCCATACTGTAGCAAGTTATATCATATATCTCAAAGTTACTCAGCAAGATAAAGGGCAATAAAAGTCAGTGTGATGAAGTGACACTGCAAATACAACAAAAGGATAAAGAGAATGGCATATGACTAGAATGAATGAGAGAGATGTTTACTATGAAGGGACCTATCAGATTGATTGCCTCAACTGTCTGGGGGAAAAGTCATTATAATCTAAAAAACAAAGGAGAACTTCTTTATTTTAAAATTAAAAAATAAATAGGTTAAGATAAACTGAATTGAGCTAGTAACATAGAGTTCAGAAATACAAATTCTTACGGTGACTAAAAGAATGGAGATAAAAAAAGGGGTGAGAGCAGGATAAAAAGAAGAAAGAAAATCTGGTACTACTAGTAAAAATAAAAAGTAAAACTAGCAATTTAAAGGTTACATGAGACAACAGAAGTCAATTATTTTTTCTATTTTTTTTCCAGCACTTTATTATTAGTTGCAAGTATATAGTACATTGGTTAGATATTTATATAGTTTATGAAACAATCCCCCCACCCCAATTACTCTATCACCCCTCTGGCTCTACACCTAGCCATTACATTACTGCTGACTGCACTCCCTATGCCGTATTCCCCATCCCCGTGACCATCTATCAACTACTAATTTGTACTTCTTTAACCTTTCACCCCTTTCTCCAGCCCCCTAACTCCCTTCCCCTCTGGTAATTATTTTTAAAGAATTATCTCTTTATGTATATTAAAACACATAACACAGTTTTACATCTGTTTTAAAACAACTTTTAAGTTCCAACTTCTTTTTCTATTAAAGATATAAACTCATTGTCATTTGATGTTGGAATTTATTTGCCATAACATATAGTTAAATTCAAATAATTAGGTTACCTAAAAATAATTATTTTAAAAGATAAAAAAACAAAAACTAAGGAGCATTCATTTCTTAGTCTTCAAATAAAAAACAACCATGTCAACAGCCTCACTATCCATTTTCTCCATCTCAAAGCAGTCTGTATTTTTCACATTTGTGAACATGAGCACCCTGACTTTCATTTCTCATACTCACAATCCTTCCCTGCTGCCATCAATCAGGGCTTGAAATAAGGGCTTGTTATGAGGTATGGTCTGTAAGATATTGCCATCGCCTGTCACATAACCAATGGCCCACTGTCCCAATCTAGTGCAGCTTAACCGGAAAATGTAGCTGTAAAACAGAAGAAAAAAATGTTTATAAGTACTACACAATTTGTAACGTAACGTATTTTTAACCAAAGGAATAAATAATCATTTAGAATTCCTGATATAAACTACTATCTTCTAACTTACTTTAACACTGTTGTACTTCTCCATTTATTGATATGTAAAAAAAGCAATGATCGGTTCATTTAAATATCTCCAGAGGGAGAAAATAATTAAAGTTGTAAACCCATCAAGTGATTTACTGCCATCACCATTAGGGGGGTACTCTAAAAAAGTGATGGTGGTATGAAATAGCTATGACATAAATCATTTTTGAAAAGTAAAAATTTAATTTGTTCACCTCAGACAGAAATTGAGCCAGTTTCTACTGTGGAATTCAATATATTTTATAATTTAAAAATTATGTGGTTTTAGTTGTTAATAACTTGTTTAAAAAATACTTTTTCTTTTAAGTATTATAGCCATGCATCTTTAAGTAAGAGCTCAAAAGAGCTGACCTAAATTAATGAGAAGACGAACTAGATAAGTTCATGGCTGCCATCTAACCCTGTCAAGTTCAATGTCTTTCAATAAGAAGTCATAATAGTTCAAAAATATAAATCAAATTAATGATAATTCCCTTAAAATTAATTCCCAATGACAGGAGACACTGACTTGGCTTTAAATCCATCATTATCATTAATTTAGCTACCTATTTACTTATTTCATTTTAGATCACTTAATTGTATTGCACTCAGTCTTGCCATCATAATATAGGTATTTGGATTTTATAACCCCTTAAAGCAGATCAAAAGTAGGTCAACTTAATCTGTTGGCTATATTTGAGTAACCTGGCTGCTTTATATATATGGCAAAAATAAGTATCTCTTAATATGCCTTAGTTATTGATGAACCCAGTACTGTAAAAGTAACTTTACCAATTTAGCACGTATAAAGGATACATAGTCATTGGATTCAATTAACTTGCCTATTTCATATTTCAATGTGCTTTTGTCTTTGGAAAAAATTGGGTTTTTAAAGAAAGGAAGAAAGGAAGAAGTTGTAATTTTTAAATATTAAGAACCTCATATAGAAACTTTGAGGAAAACTTAAAGTTTTTAAAAAACATTCTCCTAGAGAGCCTGAAAATCTATCAATTATTGGCATCCTTAATCAAATAAAAACAATTCCACACAGACTTGTGGCTGCCAGTTGGATCCCAAATAAAATACAACCTGAGGAACCCAAATGTCTTTGGAAAAGGCCCAACTATTTTCTTTACCATGAAGCCAAAGAGATGAAACACATTCCAAGAGAAAGGACCAGTTAAAGATATTCTGGAAAGCAAATATTTATCAAAATCATGGTATTTGTTTACTAAGAGAGTTTTTCTAAACACATTTCCAATACCCCATCACACTTTATATATTATAATTTACCAAAGACTAAATTTTTCATCTTTAACTACCTAAAATTTAGTAAAATAAATTGTTACGGCAAGCTGGGAAAAAAAGGAAGGCATCTTCTGAGAAGGCACTCTCCAACTATTCCATTAGTAATGAGATCTAACTTTTGCTTCCAACACTGTCATTAACTATCTCCAGATCTTGAACAAGAAAACATGAGACTCAGTTTCTTCATTATATTTACATAATTGAATAATTTCTCAAATAATTTCTGTATTAAATTTGTAAGATTGCATAATTCTAATCATACAATATCTTTCAAATTATAGTTCATGAACAAAAAGATGCTTTGATGCCAATCTACACAGTAAAAATTATGGAAAAACATGGTTGAGAGATCCTTGAATGAAACAAAATGACTCTTTTAAGTCAATGTTAATGTGCAAAATATCTGACTTGCTCTCATGGTCACAATAAGAACCAAGTCTTCTTAATCTTAACAGAAGACTTCAACATGAGCTAAACTGTTTTCTGCACCCACTATCTTCTTTTTCTATACCATATGAATTGTTAAATATAAAAAAGGTGGAAATTTTCATTATGGCTTAGAAGAAATCAACAATATTGGCTTGTGATTAAAAAGATTTTATTAAAGGACAACACCATTTGCTCTACAGATCAAATAAAAATGACATTAGAAGAAAAATGTAGACTTAAAAAAAAAAACACCAAATTCCTTCCTAAAAATGAAATGACCCCTATATGAAAAATCAGTACACTCATAGACATTGGAATGACCTCTCCTTACTAAAATGTGAGTGTGCAAGGACAGGTCTCCACTATCATTATTGCTGCACCCAGCACAACACTTGCCATAGCATGAACGGCCAAAATGTGTTTAATGCATTTCTAGATGGGATGTGGGGAAAATGAGTGCACCAGGGAAGAGACATTTTCTGATCCCAGATTTGCCATTAAAAAGATATGATTTCTTGGGCAGACAAGAAGGGCTGACCGAATAGCCAACTTCTGTGAGGCTCACTCAGCTTATCTGGAAAATAAAACAAATTCTGAGGATGTAGAGAGGCATGAGGTATTGTGGAAGAAGTTCCCATGGACATGAAATTGGTTTGGATTATTACAATGGGCTTATATATATGTGCTTATATGTGTTTATTCTGCGTGTATATGTACTTATGTGTTTATCACAGAGCCAAAATGTCTTGAAAAATAATAAAATAATGAACGTAAAACTGATCATCAAATATACACGTACAATTTTATACACAAGGGCAGTTGTCATGGAAACAGTCGATATGCTCAAATTCTACTCCAATTTTGAAAATAAGTCTGAAACTTAATGAATCCGTAAGTTCATCAAATTACATAGCACCATGTCTTTTTTCACTTCATGAACATTAAGGTTCAGAAAAGCACAAGGTATCATTTTAAAGAATTTTCTTCTGAACAAGCCCAATCCCGTCTGATCTCAGAAGCTAAGCGGGGTCGGGCCTGGTTACTACTCATATGGGAGACCACCTAGGAAGACCTGGTGCTGTAGACATCAAAAATAAAAAAAATATATGGGATTGTAAACTGAAAGGTCCTTGTAATCTGTGAGGTCAACCAAGGGCTGCCTCGCCTAAAAAAGAAAGAGAAAAAAAAGGGGGGGAGGGGAGGGGAGGGGAGAGGAGGAGAGAAAAAAGTTCTCTTAAGAAGCATCATTTTGGCCTATGAGTGTTTCCCTAGCCTCTACCCCATGAGTGTTACTTAGAGATGAACCACAAAGGACTTTTCATCTTTACAGACATCATGTAACATTACTGCTAAAAAGTCTTACCTTCCAGGTTTGGTGCTGTACTTCTGCAGTCGTGCTTTAACTTCATCGTACGTGAGAAATGCCATGTAACCTGGATGCGTTACAGCTAAGAAATTCCAATTCCGCAAAATAGAGCCCCATGGCTAAAAATAGAAATTAAAAGATATTATCTAGATCATATCAACTATCAATTATATGCCAATCCATCATTTAACACACCAAAATTCTCCTGGGTATTTTTAACGTGAACATAAGCTTATGTGGCTTAGGTCAACTTTTATTATGTAACAGCAAACATGCAAAAACTTACTCTTTTTAGAGAAATGATTAGGCAGAAAACAGATTTCTTAGAAATAGTAAAAAGGAAAACCACATAATCTCTCTTATCTAAAAATTTTATTCCCAATAGAGCACCTGTGATCATTTTGAAATGTAAACCACATAACTCTTCTATTCGAAATCCTCTAACTTTGGGTAAAAGCAAAAATCCTCATAAATGGCCTAGAAGGACTTTACAGGATCAATCTCCAGTTCCTCTTCTGTCCCCATCTGCTGTGACTCTCCCACTTTCTGCTTCCTCTCTAGGCACCCCGGCCTTTTCCGTTGGCTTGAACACAGCTGCACTCTCACCTCAGAGTCTTTCCATTTGCTGATTCCTCTACCAGAATTCTCTTTCTCCAAATATCTGTGTGATTCATCTCTCCAGAGGTCACTTCCTCGATGAGGCCTTCTCAGATCACCCTCGTTAAAACTCTCATGACATTTCTTATCTGTGTCTCTGTTTTGTTCACTACTATACTTTTAGGTATCTCATTTTATGGAACAATAAATCATATTACAGTGTAAGTGATTTGGCACAGTTTAACCATAAGCTATACAAGAGCAAGGAACACGCCTGCTCCCCAAAGGTATACTGGCACTGATGCACAGTGTCACAAACATGGCCATCTACTGTTGAGCAGCTCCCTCAAATTAGTGACTTGTCTAAAAGGCCTTGACTCCCAGCCTAGTGTTCTTTCCATGGTAACATCCATTGTATTCGCTTTTGGTTTATCCTTGCATATTTATAAAATTAGAAAAGGTTTATGGTTTAGAAGTGAGTTACATAAAAATCTTTCCCAGAAATACACACACAAACACACACACGGTTTATATCATTCTCTCTTTAACAAGATTAGTTGCCCCTCCAGTTAGTTACCATGGCAAGAGAAAAAAGGCAGTCCGTGACAGACAACTTTGCTTGAGGGTGTGAATGAATCATCTCTGCCATATTTTTAAGGCTGAAGCTACATTTTTTTTTTTTCCTCAAGGAACTGGGAGCATACTTTATTTGATGTGCCAGATTATTAATTCAAATTTTCAACATAAAAGAAAAAAAAAAGGTGGTTTATGTTGCCAAGTGAAAGTTGTTGAAATAGTCATCTTAGAAATGATTATTGGTAGCTACTTTTGTTTTGAGATTTGTTCCTCATTATTGTTAAGCATGTCAAATTTACAAGGCAAAAGTTTTCAGAGATTTTATCTCTTGAGATGAGGATAATAAGGGAAAGAATGATTTATTAATGAAGAGTTTTTTTAACCTTTTCTGACATAAGAAAAAATTTTAGGGCATTTTCCCGGCATGCTGAAATATCTAATTGAGCAAAAAAGAGCTCTGCAGAACACTATTATGAGAGATTCTATCTACGTACTTGAACAAAATACATTTTTAATTTTCTTCTTAAGGCATGACTAAAAATTGTACAAACAATACTTGGAAGAACAGCAGCATATGTTTTTAAAACTGAGGGAAAAAAACTGCTATTATAGGCACTGAGTTTTGTTTTGTTCTGCTTCTCCATCTACAAAAGACGAGAATGGAAAGAATATAAAATATTTGGGTCACTTCCATTAAAATCCACACAAATTAATGGAAAAGATGTTTTCAAAAATGCTGAACTTCATAGAGAGCCAATGTACAGATGAAAATACAAGTAAAAAAAATAAAATTGGAGTTTTGAGCCAACGGCTGCAGTATTTAGCAACCATTTCTCAGTACATAATCCAGGGGGCCAGCTTCTAACTGCAAAAATATTTACGTAATAGAAAAAGTCTGTGTACTGTTTTTCTTGTGAATGCAATCCACAGTCAGAAACACGTGGTAGTTAAGCATTTTGTTTTGTTTTGTTTTTTTTAAGTATTTTGCCAACTAATGGCTTAAAGAAGACAAAATGAAGTGCTCTGGAAATTAAGAATTATTTTTGCAATTTGTTTTTAAAATAAATCTTTTCACACATACCAACATAAAATTATTTGGAGAATATTAAATGACTAAATTGAGTGAGAAATTAATGACATGAATTAAGGAGACTCATACTTCTAGTCTTCCCAAATTCTATTATTTTCAAGAATAGCCACTTATTAACTTAAAACTTATGCTGGAGGAGGGGCCTTGGCTAGTCAGCCCAGGTACTCTCTCTTACTCCTAGCTATAGTGGGTGATTTTCTTTCTCTTCTTTTTCTCCCTATTTCGCTGATGCTATATATTCCTGAGGATATTCCCCCAAATCATTCATTCCTCACCCTCTCCCCCTCTAATTTTTTACCCCATTTCTCAACAACTCAGTCTTCTCTAGTAGTGGGGAAAACTGAAGGAGAAGGGGAGCAGCAGCTCTGGGGAAAGGAAAAAGTAAAATTCCTGTATTTCCATCCCAGGACTTTAGTACTTGCCAATCCCAGCATCTCTGAACTACCTAGAGAGGAAAAAGAGAGGGTTTAAGGAAAAAGAAAGAGATGGAAATAAGGAAGGCAGCCATTACAAGTTCCTTCCAGTGACTCCAGCATTTGTTCAAGTTTTGGCAGAATAACAGGATGAGGGAAGAAAAGGAGAAAGGGTAACTAGTACCCAGCTTTCTTACTTCTTTCGCTACCTAGCCTCTGGTGACTCCTTCTTCAAACCCTTATGCTAGTTCTCCATGTCAGATCCCAATCCTGAATGTTTCCCTTGCCCATTTTCAGATCCCACTCTGCTAAATACCCCACTTATATGATCATTTAGAGCTAGACAAATTCACTGCCAGTTAATCATCAATATCATATCTGCAGAATAGTTCTTCATGTAGTTATTTAGTCAAAAACTTACATTTTCATATAGAATATATAACTTGAGAAACCTATTACTCAATTTTTAAAGTTGTGTAAAAAGATTAGTAAAATTTCATACATCTACTTTTTTATTCATAGAAGCAATTTTATCTTATTTTAAGGTACATGTATGATTAGTCAAAGCACTTGAACAATAAAACCAAAAGAAGAAAAAAATCTCTGAAATATATGAGGGCTAACAAGTTCTTTAGCTATTTCTGTAATTATGTGTTTTAAAAGACACTAGGCACTCTTTGGTGTAAGATTTTGGTTTTGTTATCTAAAACTTTTCACAGCAATGCTACTTATAAAAATTATTTTCCTGCCCCATCCTAATGAGCATAAGTAAGATATACATAACTTAAAGTATTAAGATTACTTTGACCCCTTTAAAGTAAAACAGCTTATAAGAAAATATGTGCACATATTAAATAGCAGTTCAGGTAAGCATTTAACGAATACTAAGATGCCTTCATACCTTTAATATATAACTCTGAGGCATTCTAGCATTTAACATCCACAATAAAAAGTTATCCAGGCTCCCCACAAAACTAAGTCTGGTTCTGTCTTTCTCTCTGTCTGTCTCTCTGTCTGTCTCTCCCTCTCTCTCTCTCTCTCCCCCCGCCCTCTCCCTTCCTCCCTTTCTCATCCCTCTCTCTCTTCTTAGAATGAACAAGTTTAGTGTGTGAAAATAACCTTTGTTCTCTTCCTTCACAAGGGGAAGAAGCAAAGCTCTTACTACTTCAATGTGTCTTTGTATCATGTTAAATAAAGTATTTGGAAGAAGCCTTTAAAGAAAGGAGAGGTTTCATTATAAAATGATCACTATCAGGTAAACACTCTTTTTCTAAAATTTATCTGAATATCATTGGAAAAATCTAAGCTGAGAACTTATATATACCAAGAGAATAATCATGGAACTGCTATAAACTGAAAATAAGCAAAAGTACACTTTCTATACTTTTATCATTTATCTAATGCCCAAGCAGAATTATGACTTTAAAGTTGTAATAATGTAAAATGTATTCTATAAGTATTGTTGACAAAAGTTAATTTGCCTTTTGTTAACAGGTTCTTTCATAAATTATAAGTTAATCTCATGCGATCTTGTTTTCTTACATAAATCAATCACCCAATCCTTGCAGGCTAGTGCCAAGCAGAGTCATAAATCACAGAAGCAAAATTCTTATAACATGGGAAACATGAAAACAGACATTATACTTTAAAATTTGTTGAAAGCATGTTTTCAGCAGAATCTTACTGCAGACTAAAATAATAAAACTGCGTCAGAATATAAGCAAGCTTGGTTTCTGATCAAGTCACTTCACTTACTATATAATTTATATTATCAGAATCATAAGGATTTTGGTGGGACTCTTTCATTTTGTGACTACTTGAATTGAATCTCATAGATAATAGAATTCCCTGGTAGAGCCAAATTCAAAACACAAATTTCAAGTCTTTATGTTTAGGTTACTTCCATTAAGGCATACAAAAGAATAAAATGATAGCATCCGGTTTTCCTCATAAAATGATACCTGCATCTCTAAATATCTATGTAAAGACAATTCTAAAGGACTGATTAAAAAAATAATAAACAGGATAAGAAAGTTAACATAAGTCATAAATATTAGGGAGGAAACAGGAGAAAAAATCTTAATTTTCCAAAAGAGAGATGTTAAATTAATGACATATTATTTGAATGAAATATTATGTAGCAAGTGAAAAATGAAAATTATGTTGATGAAAAATATTTTTTTAAATGGGAATACATTTATAACATATAGTTGAATGAGCAAGCGAGTGTTAAAACAGTACACAGCAAAATAATCTCCTATGTAGAAAAGGATAAATTTGCTATCTATTTCCAAGTTTACTATTATCCTTCTCACCTAATAAATGTGGGAGGCAAAAGAGAGAAGTTGGGATACAATCCCAGCAAAATGACCACCTGTGAAAGTTACGTTATATCAGTTACTGGGCCAAAAAGACTAATAAAGTAAATTGAAAAACTACATAAGGAATTTAAAACAAAGCTCCTTTGCATTAATCTTCTCAAACCTAACAAGCAACCATTAGGCTCAGAGGACCTGAAAGTCTAAAAAAAACTCTAAACTGATAGCAATGACTAAAAACTTATACCAGTGACTTACTTTAAAATTACCACACTACCAAAAATGAGACTATTTCCAGTATGTTCGTGTATATGTACATGTGTATGTGTGTGAAAGACAGATAAACACAAACACGCACATACAAATGCATATGCACATTGCAGACACACACAGGAGGGAAGGCAGGTCAAAGAAAGGATTAATTTAATGGAAACTTACCTGAAATAGCCTAGTAAAAATATCAAATTCAAAAACCGAAATATAATCATTACAAGTTAAATCGATTGTTGATTTTAGAGCCATTGCTTCCAGGCCGGAGCTAATTTGATGGACCTCATGAAGGCACTGTCTGAATATTTTCCATGGTACAATAGTTCTGTGCAAGAAAAAAGAAAATGAGTAATTGAATCAAGTATCATTTAAGACATACCTTGCATTGAAACAGCATAATTCAATCATAACATTAATACAATTGCATTTGTACTAAAAGACTAATAGTTGAGAATATTGTTCCTAATTCAGAACACATGTAATGGGTTTTGCTAACTGGATCATTTTCCATTTGCTAAGAATGTGACAAAAATCTAAATCAATTTTTTCTCAAACAGTCCATGGCTATCAAGATATTTCTAAAAATACATCTGAAAGGAGGTATTAGGTCAAAATCTTGTGTGTCTGACTTCTTTGAGTATACAAGATTATTTGACTTTGAATCAAGCTAAATTCTCCCTCCCTATTTTCTTAAAATAATTCCAAGACAATGGGTTCATATGGTAAGAATTCTCTGTTCATTGCACCATTGATCGATCCACCATTCTGAAAAGGGTCAGTGGAAAGTCATCAACACATTTCGGCCACCAACCCGATGTTTCTAGAGATGAAAAGCACATCTTATCTAACCTTTTATATTAATGCAAAGGTAAACTTTAATATTTTTTAATGAACCACACCACTATCACGTGGAATTTTATTCATTAAACACTTATTAACTTATTTATATTAAATATCATGTATCAAAATTTTTATTAGGTAACATATTTACATGGCTCAAAAATTTAGAATAGTGTAGAATGGTAACCAGGGAAAAGTCTCCCAACCTATCCCCTACCTGACCAGTTTCTAACATTCATCCACCTCCTCCCCACCATGAAAATAAGGAACACTCATTATTTATTCCTTAGTTTTCCTCTTTTGGGGATGTTAAATGTCTACTCCTGAATAGGTAAAAGAAAGAAACTGTTCATATTTAAAATTTTTTAGGCTGCGGTTTTCACAATAAGACAGCATAAGAGCTATACATACCCTCTTATAAAATTGTATTTATATATATTTGAATCTTAACTTCTTTATCAGTTATCTCTTGAGAAATTAGACTCTGGCAGAATAAACTAAATTGGTCCCATCCTATATCAATCTTCCCAGTGAAGCATCACCATACAACCTTCACATTCATTCAATAATTATCTACTGCTGTTCTTGTCAAATTTGAGCATGCATCAGAATCACTGAAGGGATTTGTTAACACAGAAATTGCTGATCTTCAACTCAAAATATACTGATTAATTATGACGGAGGTGGGGCCTGAGAACTTAAACTTCTAACAAGTTCCCAAGAGATGCTGATGTTCCTGGTCTAGGGAACATTTTGAGAGTCACTGATCTATTCTATCTATTAATTGCTCAGACATAGCACTACAGAGAAAAATCACTATGGAAATACAAAATACTATTTCTGTCCTTGAAGAACACACACTTTTAGGGTAAAAATAAGATCTGTAATGCTAAAGAATATAGAGGCAGAATATTTAAGGAAGTGCTGCAGGAATTCCAGAGGAGTGGTCTGTGGCAAGATCAATAAATGAATGGTGAGCTAGGCTTATAATACTATGTTGTAGTTATAAGAAAGTTTAGGTTTCATATACCATTAAAAGAAATAAAGATATGAGGCTGAATACATCAAAAGGCCTTTATGTACGGGAAAAAAAAACAAAACAGGAAACCACAGAGAACTGAGGAGAGACACCACATCAGACACCATTTAGAAGAAACACACGTCAGGCTCTGATTAAAGTTACCAAAATGCTGCTGTTTTAAAAGAACAAAGAAAACTTTTGATAATATTAGAAGGCTATTGATTTATGGTGAAGTGTAAATATGTGTTATATCTAGCTTCATGGCAGTTACAGTGGAAGCAGTGCCTAAGAAGCATATTTTGCTTTTCCGAATTAAAGTTCCAAATATTCAACACACATAAAGGACATAAACCATAATATGCAAAGTAAAAACAATTTTGAAGAATTACTAATTTAATAGTACTGTTTTATCTTTTGCATGGAAATGTTTAAAATTTTTGTCTTGTGTGTAAAACATAAAAAGTAAATAAATTGATCAAATAGACACCCTTAATGGCTATTATATATACATACACATATACTCATCCCAACATTTAAGGTACATACAGATTATAACTCTTTTGAATATCCAATGATTTCCCATAGCAAATTATTAAAAATATACAAACTTCTAAAACTGTAGTCTAACACAGCACTTTGGAACAAGTAACAAAAAAGCAAGCTTTATTTCCACAGTACTTGAATAAATGAGACTTTCTCATAGTTCACTTGTGATAAACCTAAGATCCAAACAAGCAGTCTCTGGAACTTAAGAGTATAACAGAAATTAAGAAGAAAGAGCAATATTTGGTTAACTTACTATATACAAAAGTTTGTAAAACAGATACTCTTCCTTTGATCAGCTGAGCCAAACACCCACTGTGGGGAAAAGGTTGAGGGGATAGTTGGGTGGGGAGGTCATAAGTGAAAAACAGAAGTAGAGTATAATGACATCTTTAAAAAGATTGTTTTAAAACTGTTACACTAAGGATATAAACTTTCCAAAGAGTATTTCAAGTTGCTACCAAATTCTTTCCTGTAGTGGGGGTCGGGGAGAGGATGACTTCACATCTTTAAGTTAAATTGTGGCAACAAGAAAGAATGGTGGTTTCTAGCATGTCTATGCCTAGAAGTGAAGAAAGTGAGAGGAAATATTAATGGCAAATTGTCTTACAAATACGTAGAAACATCAGTGTGCTGGCAGAGACCCGGGAAAAGTAAAGAGGAAGAGAAAAACAAAAAAACAAACAAACAAACAAAAACGGAGAATAGAACATAGAAAGGCTATCTAGGCTGTAAGCATTCACCAATCCGGAAATATTTTGGTCTGTTCTTTTGCCACTAAAATTATAAATCACTTTAGTTACGAGTTGAAAAGCACAAGTAACTGTCAATCCACAAAGAATGGAATGCAAGACCAATGGGTAGCCAGGTACTTGTAATAATAATATGATTAAGGTCTTTAAGCTGTCAACAGAAATAGGAACTGCCATTTATTGATGGCTTACTATCTGCCAATCACCAAGTTAAAGACTTTATATATACAACCTGAGTTTGTCACAGTAACACTATGAGGCACATAATACATTTATCTTCATGATATAGGTGGGGAAACTGAGGCTTAAAGAGATTAAGTGATTTGCCCAAAAAAGACCTTATATATGCCAGGCATTGTGCTAGGTTCAGAACAGAAATACAAATAAATAAAAGTCACAATCTAATAAGTGGAAAGACTGGTAAATAAACACTGTGCCATGTGCTAAAGTTGTTATAGAAGAAGATGAATGTATCATGGGAACCCCATGAGATAAAGATCCATAACAGAAATTGTATCTTATTCATCTTTGCCCAACACAAACAAGGTATGCAACTAAAATTTGTGTTTTTAATTTAAACTGTGTCTAGGGATGTCAAGGGAGTGTTTCACAGGAGTTTTTCACAGAGAAGGAATCTAGAAATTTGTGCTACTATTTGCCTACTACACAGCAATCTTTTGATGACTTTTATATTCTTTCCTCCTCTGCAAAAGTGGAAGAGTGTATGAGATATCACAATTTGAAAATCCTGCAGTTTTAAAGTAGAAGGAATAGAAGACAAAAATGTGAGGAGACTGATGATACCCAAAGAAAGGCAAAACATTTTCATGAAAGCACAAATTCAAAAAGGCTATAGGTTTTATTTTTAACTCATATGAAAACAAAACAAAGAACCCATACACTAAAGGTGAGAATCTCAATAGAGACCAAGTTGTTTGGAAACAGGAACTTTAGTATACTGCTGCTGTGAGAGAGAATTTACACGGCATTTCTAGAAGGCAATTTAGCAGCAAGTTTCAAAAACCTATACATTTTAACACAGAAAGCCTACTTCTAGGGATTTCACCTAAAGAAATTATGTAAAAAAAAAAAGAAAAAGAAAAGAAATGCACGCGCACACACACACCTCATTCGTTAGACTCCAGTGTTGTTCATAATAGTAAAATATTTAAAACAAATATGTTCATTTGTAATAATAGGACATACTATATCCATAGAGAAGAAAATTTTACAGCAATTACTAATTATGTAGAAAATATATTGTCATGGAAAAGTGTCCACGGCATATTATTAAATGAGAATAGCATTTTAAAAATTGTATGTCCCTTATAATCTAAAGCTATAAACTATCTAGAATGTCTAAAAATATCAACACAAATTTTTAACTAATGATAACTAATAATGGTAGGATTGTAAGTGGTTATTTTATATTTTTTATATTTCTAATATGCCCTGATAGCTTAAAGAAATAAAAGATATACTAAGACCATTTAAAATATATTATGGAATCACAGGAAGAATGGATTAAAAAATAAAAATAGTATTTATCTATGACATAGTTTTATATGTAAGAAATAAAAAAGAATTTGCAGAGTAAACTATGAGAATAACAGATTTCAACATGGTTGCTGAATACAAGGTCAGCATACAAATATCAGTTGTATTTCTACATATAAGTGATAATTAGAAAATAAGATTTAAAAATACTTGATTTTAATATCAGCATCTGAAAATTTCAAATAAATAGGAATAAATCTAATAAAAGGTATGGAAAGACACAACATAAACACACATACATACACAATCAGATATCATACAAAGTAATATAACACTGTCATGAACTGGCACACTCGATATTGTAAAGATGTCATTACTCTCTAAAATAATTTTTAGATTTAATATAACCCCCAAATGAAACCTCTAGAAGATATTTTTATAGTAGGAATTGATAAGCTGATTCTAAACTTTATAGGGAAATGTCAAGAGCCAAAAATAATCAAGCCAATCTTAAATAAGAACACTGAAAAGCTGATACTCTTTATGTTAATTAAGACAGTGTGGTACTGGCACAAAGACAAATAGATGGAACAAAACAAATTTTAGAAACAAATGCAACCATAACTGGACACTGGATATGTAATATCAATTATATGTAGATGGCAGTGAGTA